CCCAGGGCTCGGTCACCCTCACAGGGAAGAAGTTTTTCCTCACGTTCAGATGGAACTTCCCGTGTTCCAGTTTGTGCCCGTTGCCCCTTGTCCTGTCACTGGGCACCACTGAGAAGAGTCTGGCCCCGTCCTCTTGACCCCCACCCTTTAGATATTGGTAAGTGTGGATCAGATCCCCTCTCAGCCTTCTCTTCTCCAGGCTAACCAGCCCCAGCTCTCTCAGCCTTTCCTCATACCAGAGATGCTCCAGGCCCCTCCTCATCCTCGCAGCCCTCCGCTGGACTCTCCCCAGTAGTTCCCAGTCTGTCTGGAACTGGGGAGCCCAGAGCTGGACACACAACTCCAGATGTGGCCTCACCAGGGCAGAGCAGAGGGGGAGGAGAACCTCCCTCGACCTGTTGGCCACGCTCTTCTCTGTGCACCCCAGGACACCGTTGGCCGCCTTGGCCATGAGGGCACATTGCTGGCTCATGCACTTACTTATTGGGCAGCCTTGAACTTCATGGGATGCATCAGAGGAACCATCAGCATTTAAAAATCTAGAAGCATCTTATCCGTAACATGCAGCTAGCCTAAAATTTGATTGCAAGCTCTTTATAGGCTGTCTAAGAAAAGACTTGATCTACCAACACAGTTTAGCTGTCTGTTCCCCAAAGGAAAACCTGCGCTTCTTGTCTTCACTCTGAATTCACTACCCCTGGCAGGATTAACAGCTAATCCGGCTTCTTCAAGAGTCTAGAGTAACTCTGATCAGAGTTAATCTATGACACGATACCGAGTTGGCTGCAGCAGCTTGCTCAGTATGCTTTAAAAGGCAGCTGGTGTGCCGTGCAGACCAGCGATTGTCAAGCTGTTTAGCCAGGGCCCCACTCTTCTTCTCAACAGTCGTTATCTTTGGACTGGTTGCCTGAAATAACATTCCAGAGATTGCTCCAGCTTGTTCTTTGCATATTCTGGGATGAAATTCATCAAGCTCAGCTGATCTGAAAACATTCAACCAGCAAGAGATGTGCGATGAGGTTAACAAGAAATCAAGCTTTAAATATATATAAGGACAATGCTGGTTCACTACGAGAGAGGAAAAGTTATTGACACATGATACTTAAAAAAGAAAATCTAATATCCTTCTCCAAGGAACAGTAAAAAGGCAATATAGGAACAGGCGGAAGGCATAATACATATCAGTGCAAAAGAGATTTGGGGGAAGGATTTGGGAAAGACTAGGTTTATGAGTCTATACAGTGTTTTCAAGCTGGTTGTGTTTGATTAACTTCACACCACGTTGGTCAGAGATCTCCAGCTGTTTCAAAGCAGTTATCCTACAGAGTTTGCAGAGAGCAGGTGAGTCTGGCAGAGCGCAAATGTTAAAAAAGAGCAAAACTGCCTGGGTTACTAGATTGAGAGAGTACCTAGGAATGGCTCACAGTTCAACTGAAAGGATATACTGAGTGAGGACCCAAGAGATTTGTGGGTTTTGAGATGTTTGAAGAAGGCATACGTTGATTTTACAGGGCAGGAGACGCAAATGGCGGTGCCTAACAGCAAGACAATTTCAAGACTGATCAAAATCCTACTGAAGCCAATGGAAATAGTTTCACTGATTTCAGTACAAGTTGGGTCAAGCCCTTGGTTTAAAAAAATGTGATTGCATTTAAGAAATATTAACAATACATAATGATCATATCATATTAACTAAGGGCATTGGAATCATTTCCTTTAGCTGGGTTAATCTCTGCTTAACCTGGAATGGCATTCCATAGGTTTGTAGAACAAGTCCTTAAGAAGCAGACCCGCTTTATTAATGTTTTTGACCACATCTCTATAGCAGTAAGCCTTTGTGGTTCAACAGAGCCTGGTGCACTCAGAGGCTTAAGGATGTATTTTGCAGAGAAAGAGCCTAATCACATTAATCCATGTGACGACAATGGCACAGTCAAGGAGTTCAGTTGCGAATAAACAGAATTTAACTGAATCAATCCCAAGCTCAGACAGGAAAGTAATTTTTATTGTATATAAGTTATTGTATAGACAATAAACAGCACGATGATTGATGCTATGGAAGAAATGCTTTAAACAGTAGGAACAGAAAAACAATCTAGAATGTAGGCCGAACTATGGGGCACTCAAAATGGGAAAAATTCAAGAAAGTAGCCTGAGGTGGAAAAGATAATGTGAAACAGATCCTCAGATGTAGGGGGACACCTGGAAAGACGACAGGAGGAGAAGGGCAAGAGACAAAGTGCACATTCGCAATGATTTACAACAAGGAGGCCAATACTGCCCTCCTCCTTTCCCTCCTGCTGGCCCTTCACCCACAAGCTGCAAAGCACCGATATCATCTGGCCTTCCACATTTGTCACCTGCACTTCGCATAGTGACGCCCTGTCCTCAGCGAACATGTCCACTCTGCATGATATTGCCAGTGTTCCCCACTGCCGCACTGGTCTTCTCACGGTTGTCCCCAGTCCCGTGGA